AGTAGGTTTAGGTAATGCAGTTTGATTCAAAAATTCAAAGTTTTTGGTCATATAAGCACGACCAATTTGATTGAGTGGTTCATGGATAACATGGAATTCTTGAGGATATTGAAGAAACGGTCGTTCAAAAACCGTAGAAAGAGACCTCGGATGGGACCAAAGAATAATGGGTCTTTGATCCGCCATTTTTAAATGAGATATAGTTTTTTTTTTTAATTCCTTATTTAAATCCTCTTAGAGAACTTTTAATAATATTGAACTCGACCTTGTTGATTTAATTACTTATATAAATCTTTTTCTTCAATATTTTTACTCTGAGCTTTTTTCATTTTTTTTAAATAATGCAACCATAGTTATTGCTTTTTTTTATTATCATTACATTTACATTTTTGATATTATCTAAATAATTCTGCAAATCATTTCTATAACAAAAATTTTTATTAATTTAAATTGATATAAATTTATTGACGTAATTGAATAACTAATAAATTGAAATCGATTTGTTATTTTTTTTCAAAGAAATAAATAAAAATTAGCACAGTACCAATGATAAATAATTCAGTACAGGTTCATTTGAATCATTATAATGAGAACTTTTTTTCATAGTTATGTCCATAAAGCTTGAATAAATAATTCAAGTTCTTCTATCCCATTTTATGGAATATCCAAATCAAATACTTCACTCACGCGACAAAAGAGATGTGCTAGACAATCTAAGACAAGAACTTTGAACCCGTTTCTAAAATATCAAAAAAAAAGTTTTAGTACTTTCTTGCTATTTAATGGGTATCGGCGAATAAAGGGTATTTCATAGATTAATAGTAAACCACGTAGACGAATTTAACTAATACAAGCTTGGAACAATAATAATTCAGCTTTACGAAGGCCATTGCAGAGATTTCCAATCAGACAAATATATGCATTTCTTTTATAAGTTCGTCGAGCATTTTATTTTTAGTTTTGATTGGTAATCTCTTACAATTTTCGAAGTGTTGATCCCATAAACGAAGATAGTTTAAACAACTGTCGACATGTTTCATCTGTTGTAGAAATCTAACGGTAATTGTGTCGAATCTCATTACTTTTCGATTGGTTGTGAATACATTCCAACAAGATCATTTATATTTGATGCAAAAATATCAGGCATTCCTTTTATTTTTCTTAGTTTATTTAATCTCTCTGCATAATTTGAGACTTTTACTATGAATTTGTAGTTCTAAAAAAAATTAAAGTTATATACCAACAGAAGTGTTTCTATTGATTTTAATTTCTCTTGTTTGCCCAACATGTTACCAATCGTTATAATGCCAAATTTTAAAAATAATTTTTTGTAAAAATTATATTTTTTATAAATAGATCATAACTAGAATGAAAATATGGATCTTTTGCAGTATAGGTGAGAGGCTATTAATAAAAGTTTTATTAGTCAATTGAATTAGAATACTATT